CCACTTATTATTTGAATAAATTATGACAGTGTGATGAAAAATCAACACAAAAATGTATTTTATAAGCTGTTCAGAAGTTTTGGACGTTCACTTACAGACCTGAATTTTCCTTACATTTTTAAGCTTATATGTTTTTATATCTCAACCTACAATTATTATATTGCTTTGTTTAATTGAGAAATATTTTAATCATCTTTATCTGTTGCTTCAACAGCTTTAGAACTACTTCTGATAAAATATAAATTCTATCATGATAAAATATGAGTGTATTGCCTGCATGTATTTAAGTAGAGGGTTTTAGATTCTCCCGGACCTAGTTACAGACCGCTCTTAGCTGCTATGTTAGTACTGGGAATTGAACCTGGGTTTTCTGCAAGAACAGCCAGTGCTCTTAAATGCTGAGCCATCTTTACAGCTCCACAGTGATAAAATTCTTTTAGCACACAGGAATAAGAGTTTACTACAAATAGGAACTTAAACACTTTTAGTTCATAACTTTCTAAATTTACTGTGAAAATAAATTTGTTAAGGATGCAATCAACATGCCAGTACTCTGAAACATTATTAAGGCCAGCCCCTGTCATGAAGCTCCTGAGGAGAGGGGGAATAGCTGCGTTTAGAGAGGGATCTTCTGGATAGATTCTGTTCCTGGGAGTTTGGGAACATCAGGACAACAGTTGGCATAACTGAGTACAGTTTAGGAATCAGGTGCTGTGTTCCTTATATGAAATGCATGGGTCCAGAATTGTTCCAGAGTTCAGATTCTTAAAAAGGTTTGGAACATCCATATATACACATAGGTAGATGTCTCAGGAATAAGGCCAAAGAAACATGGGACTCCATTGTTTCCTGTACAGCTAGCCTCAAGACAATTTTATACAGTATTTAAAATAATTTTATGCATGGCACACAGATTCCTGGTGTGTGGGGTCTCTCCCTCCCATCGTGGGTTGTGGGCCACCGGTCCACAAGGGCAAAGGGAGCAGAAACAATGAACAGGGTCAGGATGGCCAGTGAGCACTGAGGGAAGAAAGACCTTCTGGGGAGGCATGTTCAGTGATACAAACAGCTCCAGACTCAGTGAAACAGCTCCATTTATTCAGTGGGGGTTAGAGAAAATATAGTGTGGAGGCAGCAGCCAATGCTTCAGCTGATGGGTGCTCATAGTATGCTTTATTTACATGTGGCAGGAGGCTCCTATCATCCAACTACTGGGCAATGCCTAATTATCATATAGAGAAAACCTGGGGGTAGTTTTTACTCCAGGTAACTATGCCAAAGGTCATGTTCCAAATAAGGTCAGGCATCCGTGCTTGGCTGCACTTTCCAGGTAAGTCAGGCAGAGAGCAGGAGGCCCCCACTGAGAAGGGGAGTCCTTCCATATAGCACCAAGCCTTAGAGCTATCCGGACATGGAGGACTACAACCCTAGCAGCAGGGTCCCCCAACACTGGTGTAGACTTTTCTACTTGTTGCTTCATATTGGTCCTGAAAAGTTTTTAAATTTTGAAGCATTTAAAATTTTTGGATTTTGAATGTTTTTTGGTTTATTTTTATTATGTGTATGACTGTTTTGCTTGTATATGTGTAAGCTCACCCATGTGATGTAATAACTGAAAAAAACCTGAAGAGAATTTATTTCTCCTGGAACTGGAGCAATGGATGATTGATAGCTGCCATGTGGATGAGGAGAAGTGAACCCAGGTCCCCTTCAAGAGAAGTTAGTTCTCTTAACTGCTGAACCATCTCACCAGTCACTAGAATTTGGAGCATTTTGAATTTTGATTTTTCTAGGCAGAGATGCTCAACCAATAGGCATGGTGAAATAAGGTCACTTGTAGCCTGGGGTTAAATCAGATTTTCCAAAGGAAATGGAATCCTCTAGCAAGCATTTTGTTTTTTATTATTTTAATTTTATTTGTATGAGTGTATTTCCAGGACATAAGTGAATCTGTGTTGTATAATGCCCACGGAGGTCAGAAGATTGCCTGGGATACCCATAAGTTGTTAACTGTCATGTGGGTACTGGGAATTGAACCTGGGCCTCTTTAAGAGCAACTATTGCTCTTAACTATTAAGCCATGTCTTCAATCCCTTCTAGCAAATATTTTAAATAACAGGAAGATACCACTGTAAATTTTAAGCTCTCTCCCAAGTCATACCCCAAGGATTTGACCTAAGATTTACACAAAAGAAGAAATATTTCATCATGGCAAAAGCTAAGGCCCTATTCAGTTTCTTTCTCTTACCTCTGCCATTCAGCCCTTGATGTTGGCACTTGATATTTGACAAGAATTATTTTTTTCCCTGATTTTCAAGGTCTTAAGTATGGAGGTTTGTAGTGTTTATATGATGGACTCTTCAGTATGCTTACCTGTTCTAAACATCAGGGGAAACCTCATTATACTTAAAATTTGTGGCTAATAATGATTAAGATTTCCTTTATTTACCATGGCATCCTTTTTAGAACATTTTTCAGTAGTGAGATTGAATGGATACTTTGCTATGGAAAGAGAAACATTCCTACAAAGAACAATATAATTCTCACTGTACCCTAACACAGCAGTGTACTAGTGATTTTGTTAAAGCTCTACTTTCCTCTGAAAGCTAATGGTCTTAAACATGTCTCACTGCAGGACAGGTGAGTTGGCTCAGTGGGGACAGGCATCTGCTGCCAATCCTGAGGACATAAATTCATTCCCAGTGACCCATATAGTAAATGGAGATAAACAACTCCCAAAGCTGTTCTCTGACATCCACTTTTGTACTGTGGCACACACATGTCCCCCAGCTCCACAAAACAAATAAAAATGTAATTTAAAAGTTAAACATGCCCATTATAAGTAAATTTTGCAAATACCAAGTTCTGGAGTTGATTTAATGTAATCACTGGTTCTTAGGTCAGAGTGTTTGATTGTACCACAGCAGTCACTATCATACTTCACCTTGTCAGGCAGAACAGCAACACATTTGTGCTTTTGAAACACAATTTAAGACCAATATTCAGGGCAGGAGAAATGACTCAGAAGACTCCCTCTGCTGGTCTCTGCAGACATTGCACACATGTGGTGCAGTTACATACATATGGGTAAAACACTCATATACATAAAATTAAAATAAATTTTAAAAAAGCTCTGATTTCTACTAAACATGAAGTCTCAAATTCCTACCCTGTGTTTATTAAACAAGGCTAGAATTGATCAATGTAATTTATTAATTTTAATTGTAGGAGGACATTACTGTAGAGCTTTGATCCCATCCCGTTCTAAGAAGCGCTTAAACTTATATTGAGTTATTACCTGTGGCAAAAGTGCATTTCACCTTTTATATTTTTTCCCTCTATATGAAACAAAATTAAGTGGAAAGGAAAAATGTATAATGAGCAGGGATGGGATTATATACGTCTAATCTTAAATATTAGTAGCTGAGGCAGAAGGACCAAGAGACAAGTCCAGATAGGGTAACTTGAGAAGACCCTATGCCCAAAACACATAGACAAACAAAGAAACAGATACGGATGTTCTCACTGGTAAAGTGTTTTCCTAGTATCTGTAAAGTTTTGGGTTCAATTCTCAACACCACCCCCATATTCACACACAGAGGATAATTGTGAGGATGATAAAACTTTAAATTCTATGAGAGTTTGTGTTCAAAATTTGGCAGATGTGACAGAGTGGTCTTTCAAGAATGAATAGAGAAGTATCTATTTTCCTAAACAGGCCTTGCTAACGTATTTCTAGATATATCATCTTACATACTTGGGAAGAAAAAAGGAAAAAAAAATACATTCTGTTTTCTGTGCAATCACAAAAATCATTATATTATATTCCGCTGGGTCACAAAGATTATTTTAAAATTATACCACAAGAATTATTATTATTAATATTATTCAAATTAACTGCCTCAGAATTTGTATGATGCACAAGGGAAGAAGTCTCACACACTGAAATACAATCATAGGTCTTCCGTCTACTGAAATTGAATTAAACTCTGGCACACAACATTGAGAACTTGGTGACACTTCCATCCAAGCTATGGTAAATTCTGTGCTTTATTTTTTCAGTTGCAGATGATGCAACTTGCTGCAAAACATTCCTGAAAGGTGAAGCAAGAAGAATAAGGCCAGGGTAAACGTTCTTTATACGTATGTATTTGCCACCTTTCTCACCTTTTGCATCAAATATTGGACAGACCACAGTGTGTAAGAAGAAATAAGTGTTGGTATTAACTGTTCTCTGCAATGGGACGGTTGAGTTGTAAGCACCTCTTTTTTGGGTGCTTTTTTGAGTCTAAGGAAGCCTCTCTGACAATGTTAGTCTTTCTTCTGATCCCATGTAGGGTGACTACGGATTATAGAGCAGCCCCCATCATTCCAAATGTAACTCTCCTTTGGGCTTGGAATGTCCCAACTGATGATTGTGTTGGAAACTTTTCTCACTCACTAGATCTGAGTCTGTTCTCTTTAGTAGGAAGCCCCCGGAAAACTGTAGTAGGGCAGTCTGTCGTACTATTTTACACTGATCGACTTGGCATCTATCCTCACATAGATGCAAAAAATGTAGAACATTATGGAGCAGTCCCCCAGGCTGTGAATTTACAAGATCATCTGAAGAAATGTAGGACTGACATTGCACATTACATGCCAGTTGACAAACTGGGCTTGGCTGTCATTGACTGGGAAGAGTGGAGACCCACATGGTTAAGAAACTGGAAACCTAAGGATATTTACAGGAATAAATCTATTGAGTTGGTCCTGAAGCAACATCCAGGAATGAATATAATAGAAGCCACCAAGAAAGCCAAAGAAGAATTTGAAAAGGCAGGAAAGAGTTACATGTTGGAAACATTGAAATTGGGAAATTCACTTCGGCCAAAACACTTATGGGGATACTATCTTTTTCCTGATTGTTATAACAACAAATTTTCAGACCCCCATTACAATGGAAATTGCCCTGATGTGGAAAAGAAAAGAAATGATGATCTCAATTGGATGTGGAAAGAAAGCACAGGCCTTTATCCATCTGTCTATTTGAGGGGAGACTTGAGGTCTTCTAAAAAAGCTGCACTCTATGTCCGCTACCGTGTAGTGGAAAGCATCAGAGTATCCAAAGTGAAGAGTGAAAAGAATCCAGTTCCGATTTTTGTCTATATTCGGCTTGTTTTTACTGATAACACTACTAAATATCTTCTTCAGGTACGTAACCAAAGCCTGACAGTTGTGAGATTGTATTCACAAATGATGTTTACTGGAAATTAATTTTTTTAAAGGAAATGTAAATGAGATTTTTATATCTTTTAGGAATTTGCACGAGTCTATTTTCTCTTAAAATTTTTATTCTTTTATAACTTTTTGTCTTTAATGTAATCATGTGACCTGTTAGTAGCCATAGTAGCCATGGAGAATTACAAAATGTAGACAATATTTTAACTTCCTTTTTTTTTTTTCATGGGCTGGTCTCTTGCCAGCAGAAGTCTTTAAAACAATAATATCTTCTTTCTAAATAGAAAAGAAATGCCTGAGTAAAAACTGCGAGTGCAGAGTATGTAAATTACTGGTATTGGACACCATACTTAGCTAGCTGTGTTACTGTACTGTGTAAGCAACTATAGCTTGTTCCAAACTGTTAACTCTTTCTATCACATTTCCCAGGATGACCTTGTGAATACAATTGGTGAAATTGTTGCTCTGGGTCCTGCTGGAATTATAATTTGGGATGCTGTGTCTTTAGCACAACGTTCGGTAAGTGGAATTGGTAGGGCATTAAGTTGAATGGGGAGGAGAGAGATGAAAATATTTCTATCTAATGTTTTTGAGAACTGTTTTGGCATTAATAAGAAATATGCTTAGCATTTTGTAGTAGATACTCCATATTATTAAAAATATTGTACACTTTTTGTTTTAAAATTAGGAAATGTTGTACTGATTTTCCAGTGAAGTATCAGATCTTTAGTGAGACTAATTGAAATAGTCTAGCCTCATGGTTTATAGATAGCAAAATCATAATTTCAGTTTTCTGACAAGGTGTGTATGGTCAGAGAGTAGATTTCTATTTTTTATGTTTTAATTCCCCATATCAAGTGTTTATCAGCCGTTTATTTAATCCTCTTGAATCAAAGGAGATTATATGTAGATATGTTTGTGTGTACATATTCACATGTATATGCATATTATATATGAATATAAATATTGCTAACCTGGAGCCAGTTTTTCCTTCTGCTGCAGACTTGGCAATACAAGTGATGAATGTGCCATGGAGACTATCATGTGAAGCCCAGGAGTCCTGTCCTACAACCTGTAGAGGACAGACTTTATACCCTGAGACCAGGAGAGGCACTTGAGAAATGCTATACTTGACTCTGGCCTTTTAGAGAGAGTAGCAACATTTTACCTTATTTAAAAGTATTAAAACTTTGAAAATTTTTTCAATGTCCCCTGAGCTCTTCTGCCTATTTTGTGTAGTTATGTTGTCTTTAAATACATTCCCAATAGAAAACAAGTAACAAGAACTATAAATTCAGAAAAAAAGTGTATGTCTCTGTGAATCTTTTGAGTTTCAGAGAATAATCTTAAAATCATAGGCTTCCTAAGTATAGTTCCAATTTTTGCTAGTTGTTCTTCCAAAACTAAAATTTCCTTTTTCAAGAATATTATTAATTCTGTGATGTAGTAATTTATAAATTTTTCATACTGCTCCCTTAAAAAATAAAAGAACAGAGAACTGCACTTTTCTTCTGAGAAGGAATGAATCTGGCATTACACATTAAGTACGTTGTCATGGCATACTGTTAAACCATCATATTTGCTTTTAATGTCACTTTGATCTGAGATGCATATTGTTTGCCTCCTACATCATCATCTTCAGTATGATTCACTCAGGGACAGCCCTACAACATTTTTATTTCTCTTTTCTATTTTACACATTGCCTGTCTTAACACTGTCCCCTGTAATCTCATTCTACATATTTCTGCTCCTCCATGGATCACTTGTCATGTTTCGTCTGATTCACTGAGAGCATGACGAAAGGAAAATTGCGGGTATAATTTCTGTATGTGTATTGCGTCTTTGTGCACAGAGATGAGACTGGGTCTTCCTCAGTTGCTGCTGTCCACCTTATGTTTTGAGAGTCTCTCACTGAACCTGAAATTCACTAGTTTGGCTAGATTGTCTGGGCTGCAAGGCCCAAAGATTCTCTTGTTTCTGTCTTTACATTTATGGACTTACAAAAAATGAGGCTGTTTCTGGCTTCTTGAAGTGTGTTCTACAGATCAAATTCAGGTCCTTATGCTAGTTGGAGAAAGCTCTTTATGGATGGAGTCATTTGTTTCCCCGTTCCCTGCACCATCATCACCTCTGATCACTGGCTTGTTTTTCATCTGCTAAAATTGGCATAGAAAGTTGTCAAATAAGCCCTTTTCCATCCTCTCCATTTCACCAGTTCTACTGTTGTGATGAAGCCAGCTCTAGAGGCTTGATTATTTAGTATTCAGGAATTCTGTGAGCCTGTAGATAATCATTGCCATTATTTAAATTAAGTGATAAAAAGATAGAATGTCATGAATTATGCTAAATACAAAGGTGAAGTTTCAAAATAAAGCATCCTTTCCCTTCATCCTCACCTCCTGTGCCTAAGGTTGTGAATATCAGTTGTACCTGTGTGAGTGGGTATTCTGGAGTGATTGGTACCCACATCATGCTCCCATACTGTGAAATGCTTCCTTCTATACTCAGTTCCAACCTCTGCCTTCAGTACTGTTAGGTGAGCAACTTGAACTTGTCCATTAGAGGTATATTAGTACTCCATCTCTTAGATTTCCAGTTTAAAATTTTCCATCAGTATATCAGTGCACTCCATGCTCAAATCACCCTCATCTCTGTTGTCTGATTTTGGCTAAATCTTGTTTCTATAAAGTCTCACTTGACTGACTGTTGACTGAAAGGTCTTTTCCGTCTTCCAGAAGTTCCCAAAGTCTTAGGCTCTTGGCCCCTTTCTTCTGCCATCAAAAGTAATGGTAGCGATTCAGTTTATTTGTTTATTGTCAAGTTTTCATATAATATCTCCTAGTTGTCTATGAGGAGACCTTGAATTCTTGATTTTCCTGGTTCACTTGGGATTGCAAGAGGGCATCATCAAGTTCTTCTGTAATGCAACTATTTCTTGCACTTTGATGTCACTGCCTTTTACCATGTTATCTTACTAACCCAGTTGGAAAAACTTCTTCGCTTATATGGACATGTGTTATTAGACTGAGCTCTCTCAGATAATTCAGGTAACCTCCTCTTTTCAACCATCATGCTCCCAATCATATCTTCAGCTCCTCTGCTCTGTGATAACATACATACAGGTCTAAGAACTAGAGTGCAGACATCTTTGGGGAGACATTATATGGCCAATAATAGACAGTATTCATACAAAGAACAGAGCAAGAAATAGATTCAAGTCAGATACTTTCAGATTACTCGTCTTTCATGTTGACATGCCACCTCGACTTCATTTGGTCTGCCTAGGGGCTCCCTCAGCAGAACTGTTGTTGATGAGAGACCATGACTTCTTCCAGGTATTTTGAAGGATAATATTTCTGTGCAGTGTTAAAATGGATCATTTCTGCTCATTATTTCAGCCTATACAGTTTCTCAAAAAATTCTCAATATGCATATACAATTTGATTATGTGACATTTATATAAAACACAGTTGAACATATTAATTACTTTGAGCTATGAATTTTGGAACTCTAGCTAATATTTAAAATCATAAGACAAATGAGATTCCTATTACTATTACTTATGATTTATTGATGGTTAGCCTAAGATAAGACATATATTAAGCTACTACTTTATTATCTAGATTTCATTATTTGTCATTATACAAGCTCTATGTGGCAGGCTGTAAAATTAATGTTATTTTACAAGTGACAATACTGAAAAATAAGCAAATTCACCAATTTATATAAAGTTACCCAGATAGAAGACTAAGATTTAGAAAGTTTGGGAGATCCCAGTCTCATACAGAAATTTATTAAGGAAGCTGGGATTCCTATTAGGGCAAGAGAACCTCAACTCCCATAGTCTAACATCTGTAACATTCCATCCTCTTCATAAATTTATGAAATTTTAGGGAAGATGAAGATCAGATCAATTTAAGGCTCAACTAAAAAATTATACAGTAGCATGAAATGGCATGTGAAAACTACAAATATTAGAAAAACAGCTGGCGTCATCTTGCTTACTAAAGTAAAAAAGAACATCCCATCCTTTGGTCTGTCATTTTGTTCTTAAGAATTGCTGGTTATAATATGTTAGTTTTCATAGGAACTTACATCTTTATACTCTATCTTATTATTTCACAGGCAGGTTGCCCCAGACTATATGAATACATGAAGGGTATCCTGAATCCTTATATAGTCAACGTCACTTTAGCAGCCAAAATGTGTAGCCAAACACTTTGCAAGAATCAAGGCTTGTGTACAAGGAAAAATATCAGCAGAAATGACTATCTTCACTTGAACCCAAATAATTTTAAGATTCAATTTGTGGAAAATGGAATGTATGAAATAATTGGCAATCCGACCCTTCATGACCTGGACTACTTTTCGAATCATTTTAAGTGCAGCTGTTTTGCCAACACAAACTGTAAGGCAACACATAATATGGACATTGTGGAAAAAGTGCACGTGTGCACTGGTGATAATATTTGCATAAATGCCATTGTAGAACCCAACCTGGCATTCTACCTCATACCGAGAAAACGCCTCCTCTTTGTCACAGCACTCATTCACATCATTTGCTACAGGGTCTCTCTGCTTTCCTATGAAAGGTATCAGTGAGTAACCATTAGTTCTCTCTAGCCACCATATTTGAAATATTTGTTATAGGCTTGTGGTAACTTGAAAATGAAAAATGGGACATCATTTTGCAAAGACAATTCTATTTTAATAATCAAGATTGTGTTTTGAGTTTCAAAGGCAAGATGTGTTTTCTTCTATCAAAGATTCATTGCAAGCTAGAGCTGGAGAATTGGTATTGGTCTGAAGAGACTGAAGATTAAATAAAATCAAATTACTGCATTCGTATGTCTTTATTTGTCACTAGTCGAAGAAAGATAATCAATGGACTGGAGAGGTGGCTCAGCAGTTAAGAGCACAGGCTGCTCTTTCAGAGAACCCAGATTCAAATCCCAGCACCCACATGGTGGCTAACTCGTGTCCATAACAACTCCAGTTCCAGAGGATCTGATTCCTTTTCTGACCTCCACGGGTATTGCACAACATGAGTGCACTTACACATATGCAGGCAATACACTCATACACATAAAATGAAAAATAAAATATTTTTAAATGGGGGTTGGAGAGATGACTCAGTAGTTAAGAGCATTTCCTGCTCTTGCAAAGGACCCAGGATTGATTCCCAGAACCCACATGGTGGGTTCTGGGAATCAATATATATATTGATTCACTCCAGTTCCAGGGGAATCCAATGCCCTTTTCTGACCTTCACAGGCATTGTGTGATATGGGTGCAGTTACATGCAGGCAGTACACTCACATATATAAAGTAAAAATAAATAATTAAAATATTTTTTAAAAATATGATCAAAGAAATATTAAGAGAATGAATATATTTTTAATTTTTATTAAATTTTTGTGCATTTTATACAGAAAATCATCTTTATACTCCCTTCCCCTTTGCCAACCTCCCATAGCCCCTTACTCTCAATGGAGTTCATATGTTTTGTCATTTGTGTTAAGGCCTGTCATGTAAAGTTAGTGTCCCCAGATATCTAGAGTCCATCCCTTTAATAAGGTCAGCTCATTCTCACCCATCAGAATTCAGTTGCCAATAGTTCTTCAACTAAGACTGGGGCCTGCTGTTAATTTCCACAGTTCTGCACTGGGTTTTTGTCTGCTTAAGTCTGCATGGGTCTTGTGTATGCTGACACCATTGCTGTAGGTTTATATGAGAAGAGTCCTAGGAGCCTAGGGTGTTCATATGGTCATGCACCTGCTCCCTGGCTCTTAGGATATTTCCACTTCCTTTTCTGCAACAGTTCCTGAGCCCTGGGAGGGTGTATTTTAATATAGGAGTCCTGTCCAAGGACCTACACTCTGTGGACTCCTATTCTCTGCATTTTGGCCATGTGTGACCTTTTGCATTCCTGGCACTCTGTTGCATAAGGGTGCTTCATTGAAGAGAGTTGTAAGATGAAATACTGTTCTCTTCCTCTCTTGTTTTATGTTCTGTAGAGGCTGCATCTTACATGTGCCACTTGGGCTTGGGCAATTCACAGACAATCTCTGTGTCTGACCAGTTGTGGAACCCTGTAACTATCCCTGTCTCTTGAAAAATAAACTTCTTTGATGGGTGGTCACTGGGCTACTTGTCTATAGATTTAAGGATCCACATTACATTTGGCTAGGGATGTGACAACGTTGGAGTTTTCTCTAAGATCTATGACTTCTCCGGCTATGTGTATTTGGTTAGGTTTATAGTACTACACCTGAGTTTCCTCCCATTGAGTGGGCTTTAAGTCCAATTAGGTAGCTGTCGATTGCCCCCAAAATAAAAGTGCCATTACTGCACCAATGTTGTTTGCTGTGCTGGTCATTGATGGGGTTTTTAGGTCTTGAAGCTGCGGGTTGAACACACCTTGATGTTCTCCCTTAGCAGTGTGTATGGTGCAGGAGAGTGGCTTCAGGTCAGTTCCAGCTCCATTGCTTCAAATCCTGCATCCAAAATACGTCCTGTCTTTAGCAATAGTGTCTTACCATCAAGTTCTGGGAGGCAATCAAGGACTGTGGCAGTAGCCTGTGTATTTTTTAGAGTCTCTTGGACCACCCTGGCCAACAACTCAAAGGAAGGTTTCTCCTATCTGGCACTGTTTCTTGTTATGTAGCCTTCAGCTATGCATACGGACTCATGCAGAGATATTATATGTATAATTTTTCAGTAGGTTTTTGGACTAATATGATTCCCTCTAGTTTTTTCTACT